ATCTGGAATGTCACCGTTTCTGTCACTGCAAATTCCCGATCAGGCGAACGAACACACACACACACAAAATCGTCTGTCTCATGAAAAAACTTTATTAAAAAAAAAAAAAATTGTTAATATTTGCATAATTTATTATTTATTTTATCCACCCGCAAATAATCAGAATGTTTTTGTTATTACCCGAACGTGTGGATATAGGAAAAGCAAAATATGTTTGCAGCATAAATCAGACGGACTTACTGAAAATGCAAATTCATTCTCTGCCAGCAGGAGGTGCTTTAAAGTGGGAGAAACAGAGGTTTCCCCAGTAACGGCTGTACACAAAGCAGCGCTGAGCTCACAAACGCTGCTTTATCAGGCATATAACATGCCAGATTAAATGAAAATGACATCGAAAATTTTCTACAGATAGTCTTCCTTTAGAAATACAGTGATATAAAAACACCTGTGCCTCGTTTAAATTTTTAAACGTGCAGTACGTGCTCATGTTTATTCAACGAAGCCTTTTGGAAAATCCGTCAGTTTTGATATTGTGGCGAGCGCCACAAATAAATAAATGTATGGGAAACACAACCACCTGAGCCCAACTTCAGTCTATTCACCTTAACTTTAACTACGTTTGTAGCCAGTGCCATAGCCAGACTGATAAACAAACACCCGGAAGTTAACTTCGGGCCAGGCGCGTGCGCCCAATGAAACCGTCCATATAAAGCTTGAAGCATCAGAATCGGTATCGGCCGATCACCATGACAAGAAATCGGTACTCAGTATCGGCTGCAAAAATCCTGATCGGAGCATCCCTACAATATATATATTGTGCAGTAATAAACTTGTCACTATAATAACAGCGCTCACCTGTGGTAGGAACTGACACAGGTTCCCGACCTGAATGTGCAGCTCTTTCACGGCCTCCTCCACAGCCCTCTGACTGGCGTGTTTTTTATTGAGCATCCATGTCGACTGGTTGTTCTCTTTCTGGATCTCTCTGGTGATTATCAGATTGCCACTCGCTCTGTATCTGGACACAAAGACGAGCAGAGATGAACTGAGCAACTCTAAGTCTCTTCAAGGACTTCTGCAAATGGCCATTGTATAAATATATACTTACAGCTCAATTTCAACTGAACCCTTGCTGCATCCTCGCTTCACATACAGACCAACCTACAAACAGAAAAATACCTAGTTTATTTATTACTAACATAAGAATGTCAATAAGTGTTGTGTAAGAAAAATATAGATTTTTAAAAATGTATAAACTGTAATCTCCAACTTCGGGTCACTCAAGCAGGTGCGTTCACGACAAGGCGTCCGAGCGTATGACGTAGGCGTAGCGGATGGTGCAACGTAACTCCAGGCAGAAGAGTCTAGTCTCGTGAGAACCAAGTTTTGTTTACAGCACAGGGAAACCAGTGAACTACATCTGATTCTGTAGTTTGTGCCGCCGCCGCTGCAGCCTCCTCCATCTCACGGAGCTCCTGGTCGGTATACTCCGGTTCAAACAAATATGGCTGGGCAAAAAACTCATTCTCCTCTTGCCTTATATCGAAATCTAAAGCTGGGTATCGTGTTCGATACTTTTTAGGCACCGACCGAATTGCCTCGATACTATCGAGTATCGATAAATGTCTTGTCGTTCGGTACCAAATTTCGATACCTAAAGGGGGTAATCTATTCAACGTCAGTGAGCCATTAAGCATCCAGCTTGCTTGATGCGCCTAAATCAAGTGCTGGTGATTGGCTCTGGTGAGGCATCGAGGTAAAACACTAGTTTACGCCGGTTCCACCCAGAGACGTGACTCACACGTGTGTAAGCGTCCAAACCCCCATAGATGTAAGGCTACGTTTACACTAGTGCGTTTTCATTTTAAAATAAACTATCCTCATCCATACTGGCATTTCCACTGCATTTCAGAAGAGATTTGTCCACACTACATGACCAAAAATGCATGTTATGTGACCATTCATGCACACTGTAGCATCATGCTGCTACACAAGACAATTCATAAGATTTAGTCTATGCTTTTACTCAAAACTCGCTTTAAACCACCGAGTGTTTGTAATAACTTCCGATTGCGATTTAATGAGGGCTTTGGTCATATAATGTTGCTGAAATATGTTATTTGTAGTCTTTTATATCAAGCTAATCACTACACCTGCTTAGAATTTCTCATAACTCATTCTCCTCTTGCCTTATATCGAAATCTAAAGCTGGGTATCGTGTTCGATACTTTTTAGGCACCGACCGAATTGCCTCGATACTATCGAGTATCGATAAATGTCTTGTCGTTCGGTACCAAATTTCGATACCTAAAGGGGGTAATCTATTCAACGTCAGTGAGCCATTAAGCATCCAGCTTGCTTGATGCGCCTAAATCAAGTGCTGGTGATTGGCTCTGGTGAGGCATCGAGGTAAAACACTAGTTTACGCCGGTTCCACCCAGAGACGTGACTCACACGTGTGTAAGCGTCCAAACCCCCATAGATGTAAGGCTACGTTTACACTAGTGCGTTTTCATTTTAAAATAAACTATCCTCATCCATACTGGCATTTCCACTGCATTTCAGAAGAGATTTGTCCACACTACATGACCAAAAATGCATGTTATGTGACCATTCATGCACACTGTAGCATCATGCTGCTACACAAGACAATTCATAAGATTTAGTCTATGCTTTTACTCAAAACTCGCTTTAAACCACCGAGTGTTTGTAATAACTTCCGATTGCGATTTAATGAGGGCTTTGGTCATATAATGTTGCTGAAATATGTTATTTGTAGTCTTTTATATCAAGCTAATCACTACACCTGCTTAGAATTTCTCATGTAAACACCCTGTATTGTTATGAAAATAGGCAGAATCTCATGAAAATCACATACAAATCATATACTGTCGTAATCGCATGTTCATTAGCTTCATGTTTCATCCGTGGAAATGTTTTTCTGGGTTTCTTATGTACAGAACTGAACGGGAAGTGTAATGGACGTTCGTCAAAGGAGACGGGACGGGTTATGAACGCTAAATATGATTGACAGTTGAGCAGCGAATGAGCTCCTCTGAGTCAGAACAGCGATTGCAGAAGAGAAAACAGACAGCGGTGATCAATAAATCAGTGGAAAATTAATAGAAATTATGATTCTGTTTAAGCGATGTGTTTTAAAACGAAATGCACTAGTGTAAACGTAGCCTAAAAGTTGTGGAAACTGAAACAGTTTTTGAGTCTGTAAAAACATACATAAGCTGAAAAAATAAAACCAAAACGTTTTTTTGAGGTAATGTAATCTTGTTGAAATGGATTTAATAAAATTTGTATCGGAAAAAGTATCGTTCAGGAACCGGTATCGAAGTCAAGGTATCGGTATCAAACATTTTTGAACGATACCCAGCCCTATCGAAATCCTCTGACATTTTTCACTCAGAATCTTGTTTTGTAGTACTAGTTCGTGACAGGTGTTTTGTTTTGCTTTCTCCTCTGTGCTTCCGCGTTCGTCACTCTTTCCCCGGAGTTACGTTGTGCCTTCCACTAAACCTACGTCATACGCTTGAACGCCTTGTCGTGAACGCGCCTGCTTGTGCGACCGGAAGCTGGAGATAAGAGTTTATACATTTTTTAAAATATAGAGTTCTGGCATGAAACTCTAGATGGCGCAGTCTGATAGATCTAACTCAATCTGACTTAATGACATCATTATCACATGGCACAGCTGATTGGTTCTCTCCCGTATCGCTGCTCAACATTCAAATATATGACTAGGGCTTGCTGTAGCAGTTGCAGCTTGCTTCAGAAACCCTCCACCTTCCCCAGCTCCACCTGTATAGATCTGCTACGAGGTGATTCATGTATACTATAAGGGGGTTATTTCATATGTGTTATATTTGCAGCAGCAATATTTCTTACATGCTCACAGCAGCATGTTGTGGATGTATTGGCAGTAGCAAGTCTCTGTACTTGCTCTGCCGCAGCAGCAGCGTATCAGATCTATTCCGCCAAGACCAAATACATTAACATTGTCATGTACATTACCATGCCAATCCCTCCGAGAGTTTTCACGACAGAACTATAATGACTATAATTCATGACTTACACTAACGCATCGTTTCGCTTAAGAAGGTCTTTATTAACCCGAGGTGTTAATAAAGGTCTTCTGAAGCGAAATGATGCGGAGCCGTGTGGAGTAGTTTTATGATGGATGGATGCACTTTTTTTAGGCGTCAAAAACAGGGGCACCATTCACTGCCATTATACAGCTTGGAAGAGCCAGGGCAATTTTAAATACAACTGAATACAACACACCCCCACATATCTACGTCACTGTGTGGGAAGATTTGCATAAAGCCGCCCAAATGTTCACGCAAAGAAAGAAGGCGTAACTTTTATTCTCGCTGTAGTATTGTTGCCGCCGCCGCCATGTCGTGAAGAAGCTGTGTGCTTCGTTGTGAAAGCGAAACTACTTTGTTTGGTCTTCCAAAAGAGGACGATATCGCTTCGTCATGCCTAGAGCTCATCCGTGCTGGTCGCTGAGGAAGAAGCACACATTTCCGGCATTTCCGTCACACGCTTGAGGTATTCGGCCAATCACAACGCACTGGACAGCTGGCCAATCAGAGCACACCTAGCTTTTTCAGACCGATGAGCTTTGTAAAAATCTACCCGTTTCAGAAAGGCGGGGCATAGAGGAGAAACAATAACGTACAGTATGTGGAAAATAATGTGTTTTTTGAACCTTAAACCTCATAAACACATTTCATTACACCAAATACACAAAATAATGTTCTTTTTAGCAACACCATATGACCCCTTTAAGATAATAACCATAGTATTTGATAATTAAATGTTCCTGAATATAAAAGCTGAAAAAGGTACAGAAAAAGGATATTTTCATTATCATATATTTGCTGTGCTAATTCAAGCACAAATTCCTAAAAATGTACATTATTTAAGTTATATGTAGTTCTAAATCATTCTGTTTCTTCTCCAAGTACTTTTTAGGGTGGACAAACTTCTCGGTACGCATTAGACCCAATTCCTGTGGGTTTTTCTCCGTTCCCTCATTACCTGCTTGTATCATGTGAAAGTTGCCGGATTTACAGCTTGTACACTGTGTTTGCTGACTACAGACAACCAAATCATCTCGGCACAACTGCCTCTGATGTCCAAAGCATCTGCACATGCAAAACCTGCCATGTGCACTAAACTTGACAGATGTAACCATCTGTGTGTATTTGTGAATCATACTGTGAGTTTCTGCACCTGTAGAAGCTTTTGGGACAGTGTCTAGAAGTAGCTGGACAACAGATTATCGATGTGAAATGACCAAAAACGTTCATGACACCACATAGCACTAAAGTCTGTAACCTGACCGAGCTGTCAGACAGATGTGAGTGCTGAGATGAGACACTCGCCTTGTCTCCTCGGCCCAGGACGGCTGTTTTCCCCGCCAGGCCCAGGCAGATGGCGCACACTATACTGGACTTCCCTGTGCCATTGGCCCCCACGATCATGTTCAGCTTGGGTCCCGGGAAAACCTCCGAGTGGTCGTATGTGCTACAAACAGAGACGACCTGAATTACAACTATAATGCATAACGTAATTGGACAATTCCTGACATGAAGCTGTAGTGGCAGTGGAAAGAGCCGTTGTGAATAACGTGAAGAGTGAGTTAAGGTTAAGTCACTCACAGGAAGTTATGCATGCTGATGCGGAGGATGGCGCCCTCCACGAAGCCTCCCGCTTGGCCTTTCGTGCTGCTGGAGGGTGCAGCCTCGCGGGTGGAGGGCTGGCAGCTGGTGAATTCATGGCTTATTCGGTTTCTCTTCTGCGGCAGGTCCATTTCTCTTCCCGTCCACTCCGCCGTTAGGTGTTCAGCAGCAGCGCCGCGACATCACTTTCATTTCGTGCCTGTGTTGCGGGTAAGTCTCCTTGCGATTGGCTGACGGGTGCTTACAACACATAAGCACTAGATGGCTGTAAAGAATTAACCTGTGATATTTGTGTTGGACTGAGATAGTCTTAAGTCAAAAGAATATTTGGTAACACTTTATTTTAAGGTGTCCTTGTTACACTTGTTACATGTACTTACTATTATAATAACAATTAATTCTGCATAATTACATGCAAGTAGCCCTAAGCCAAACCCTAACCATATAGTAAGTCCATGTAGCTACTTAATATTACTCTGTACGTATATGTATAATTACACTGTAACAAGAGCACCTTAAAATAAAGTGTAACCAAATCTTTTTTAGGTACAGTGTACCGGCTGTGCTTATGTTGAACTGCAAAACACTTCTGCAGTTAGATTTGGTGGCTTGGTTAGATTTAACTGGTTATTGGTTATGACAGTGTAATTATAGATGTAACTACAGAAATGAATTACAGATGTAATTAAAGGAAGGTATTTAATGTAAGCACACTTGTAATTAATGTTAATGTAAAAATACAAGTGTATTGTATCAAATGATCAATGCATATGTAAGTATGTATTATAACATAACATACTATAGTACCATACTATATACTAAATACATGTTTCAGTAGGAATGCCATAGATTTTTAGTTTACTTTAAAAAGGATCTATAACTTCTGGAAGCACCTCTTTTAGTAGCTTAGATCATTCTTCCTGTCCTATAGCAGAGAATGAGTGGAATTGTTCCTCAGGGGATCTATTATGCACTGATGCGATACTGTTGCTGACGGCCGCATGGTTAGAGTTTTATCTCTAATAGTATCGATCTTGGAATGAAAGAAGTTCAAAAAGTCATTACTGCTGTGCTGTTGGGAAATGTCTGCCCCTGCTGATGCTTTATTTTTCGTTCATTTAGCCACTGTATACTGAATGAATACCTGGGGTTGAGAGAAAAGTAAAAAGATCTAGCAGTTTTTAAGGATATTCCCTCCATGCAATACAAAACACCTCTAGTTTTGTTTCTGTACAGCTGCGCTCCATTTTCCGGGCTGCTCTCTTTAGGGTGCTCGTTATATACTACACTCTAAAAAATGCTGGGTTAAATACAACCCAGTGCTGGGTAAAATAGGGACAGACCCAGCGGGTTACTAGCCAGAAGGTTGGGTTAAACATTTAACCCAACCGCTGGGTCAAAACAGCCCAATTGCTGGGTCTGTCCCTATTTTACCCAGCACTGTGTTGTATTTAACCCAGCATTTTTTAGAGTGTAGACTGTTTCCTTAACCTTCTTTAAGTGTAAAAGAGCAACCGTATTTAAAGTGCTAGAAAAGAGAGAGTTCTGTTACTACATCAAGTTTTTCTAAGCTATCAGATAAGCTGAAGAGCTGAGCCAGGAAGTTCAGAAAGCTCTCGGATTTCATCAAAAATACACTCTAAAAAATGCTGGGTTGTTTCAACCCAACTTTGGGTCATATATGGACTAACCCAACTTTTGGGTTAAAATTTAATTTAAAAAAATGTACCCAACAGCTGGTTTAGTCCATATTTGACTAAAAGTTGGGTTGAAACAACCCAGCATTTTTTACAGTGTATCTTAATTTGTGTTCTGAAGATATACGAAGGTCTTATGGGTTGGGAAAGACATGAGGGTGAGTAATTTTTGGGTGAACCATCCCTTTAATAACAGATTGATAAGTAATATTTTACATTTCTCATTAAACTAAAACTGTTACTAGTTAGAAGTGATTAAGGGTTTTTGGGAAGGGGCTAAGCTCACCTCCTCACATCTCCTCTGGGCCCTGTGTAGGATGTGGGTGTGGGTCCTCTGGCCAGCATCCAGTCACCTGAGTCTCTTTCTTTAACCTGAGTGAATCCACACAGACCAGCCTCAAAGTCACAGTGAGACAGGACTGACACAGAGGATGCTGTAACAGACAGAGTTTCTGTTTGTAGTAAACAAAAATATTAAAGAATCAATTTTAAGATTCACCAGGAAGATTCAAGATTCACATGCACAGTGTTTTGTAATAAATGAAGCTTGTTTACCTAACAGTGCACAGTCACCAAGCGTGACTTTAATGTCATCGAGACCCACAGAGCCACAACTCCAAACATTTTTGCATGTGCTGATGAAAACCACCTTCATCGCCCAAATGGAGAAAAATCACATACTGTAATTAAAGGGGTCATATGATGTTGCTAAAAAGAACATTATTTTGTGTATTTGGTGTAATGAAATGTGTTTATGCGGTTTAAGGTTAAAAAAACACATTATTTTCCACATACTGTACATTATTGTTTCTCCTCTATGCCCCGCCTTTCTGAAACGCATCGATTTGTACAAAGCTCATCGGTCTGAAAAGCGAGGTGTGCTCTGAAAATGCCCCCAGAGGGCATCACTTCCCACTTTGATAATTACTGTAGTTACCATGTTCTGAACATCACATCCTTTCTTTTTCCCTCAGATGTAATCTATCTAGGTGGTCAACATCTTTTGTTGATCCTGGATCAATATTACTGTCCAAAAATATAGACTAAACCCAATCCCTAATCCATAGTTTATTCCTAAAATCAGAGGGAAATGATAGCTGATTAACAAGGGTGTAGAAGCACCTAACCCTTATTGTAAGCCGAAAACAGTTATTTCCTGAAAAGTTATCTCTCAATTCTGATTGGTTAATTGGAATGTTGTTCCAGGATCAACAAGGATGCTGATCCAGGAACATGTTGTACTTGGTGAAATCACGTTCACCCTAGGTGGTTGAATAAAAATATTTGGACTTTATATATAAAAATTACTTCAACTTAGCACCAGCAAGCTTGTTAGCTAGACAGTTAGCATCAGCTAACAATATTAAATATTAAAATCAATATTTTATATTGTTAATCCAAACAATATGTATACTGTTTATAAACAATATAAAAACAGACGTCACATAGGGCTAAATGCATCGCATTTTAATAAAACTGTTAATGTTACGGCAGCGGGGAATATGAACGTGCATGATCGTGCATATTTTAATGTTTCAGGGTTTTTTTATTTTTTATTTTTATCTGACACTGATGTAGATGTGTCTGCATTCAAGCATTTCAGTGGGCTTAAATAGATCACCCTTTACAGCAGATCAGTTCACAAACAACTGACTTACGTTCTGACCTAAATATGATTTTCAGTAACAATAATTAATCCTAAAATTCAACATTAGTAACTTACTTTTAGCAGCATCACACACGGCGGGCTAGAGTGAGCGGAGGCCGGAGTCCTAGAGTGAGAAACGGCCGGCGGATTCGACGAAGGAGTGGTGGGCGGGCTTGCGTCAACCACATGTGACGACCCCGGGCTGGACTCCGCTTCGTCCACGGTGAAAGCCGATCCGGCGATCCACAGGGCGAAGTTGATGTATTTCCTCAGCGACCAGCACGGATCAGCTCTAGGCATGACGAAGTGGATATCGTCCTCTTTTGGAAGGCCAAACAAAGTAGTTTCGCTTTCACAACAAAACACAAGCATATCCACAACATGGCAACAACAATATTACAGCGAGAATAAAAGTTACGCCTTCTTTCTTTGCGTGAGCATTTGGGCGGCGTTATGCAAATCTTCCCACATAGTGAGGTAGACATGTGGGGGCGTGTTAGAACGAGCTGTTTTAGGTAGGCGTGGTTGACTCTTAACTTTTATGAAGAATACCCCTTTGGATTTGAGACTTTAGTCTTTGCAACTTTACAGATCTTCTTTATGCACCAAGAGCTTGTAACACTCCAAAGAGAAAGGAAAACTTGAAATCGCATCATATGACCCCTTTAAGATCAACACAAAACCCAATGAGTAAAGTTTGTGAACAAACTTTGAAGTTGGCTTGAAAAAGCCTAGCCTGAAAGTTTGAAACAATTGTAAAAGCTTGAAGTTTGAAAGTTTAGATTAGATGTTGGTAGCACATTTCTAGCATGATTTAGCAAACTGCAAACATGATTTATCATGTTGTTAGCATGACTAGCATTTTGCTAGCATGTTTTGGCATGATTCGCATGTTTCTAGTATGATTATTATGTTGCTAGCATGGCATGATGTTTTTTGATGTTTTTGGTATGATTAGCATGTTGGTAGTAAGTTTTAGTACACTTCTAGCATGATTTAGCAGTTTAGCAAAGTTTTGACCCCCTCAATAAAAAGTCTATGGGACATCAGTTTAATGAAAATCATAAGTCCAATCAGTCAGAACAGTCTGAAAGTCTGATCTGAGTTTGGTGGTTGTAGCTTGAAAACTTGGTTGTAGCTTGAAAGAGATACAGTCCAAATTTTATCTCAGAAGAAGAAGCTTAAATAGCAGATCAGTAAGTTGGCCTCTCAAACCAACTTAATGACAGATCAGAAAAGAAAGACAGTGTATAAATAGGCTACTGCAAAACTTTAAAGTTTTAAGGTATGAATAATCCTCAGACCATCTTATATTTCCAGATGTTCTAAATACTTATTTCTCAAATTTTGGATCTTACTGTAATAAAAGTCATGTGAGACATAAACCCATGTCTTGCTTACAGATGCTGGAGCAGTGGGCCAAAAGAATGGCCAGTTAAATGGAAGTCATCTGAGAGTATGTTTCATAAAAAAGTCTGTGAAATCTGCTTTTGAAATTGAGATAGCCAATAGTCTTTGGTTTACAGCCATAAACCATGATTTGCAATGCTGTTGGTAAGCAACAGTATGATAGGCAAAGTTTCAACAGTTAGAATGGTTAGTATGGGCCTGTTAGCCTATGTAAATACGAACTTCCCAGGAGGACTTGAACGCTCCATATGTCTCTCCCCCTAATATCACCTGCTTCTGACTACAATAGTGAGCAATAGTCAAGCAATAGTAAGCGAGGTAAACTAAAGCCTTACGCCATCTTACCTGAGCATTCTTCTGACTTTGAATGGTCAGTTCTACTGCAATCCAAACATTTCTTATCTTATAATTCTGGGTCCATATTTGTTCTTGTTTAGAACCGTCGTTGTAATACAGATACACCGACAAGACTTGATCTGTTCCACTGAGACCTCGCAGGGAGTAGAAGAACTTTAGGCAGTATTTCTGATTCCCTGCCAAACTAACGACTGACGTATCCAGACTGTAATCTGAAGCGAGAGTTTGCCAACAAGAAGGATCCTGTTCAGAAAGAAAACAGCTATTTTTAGCCACTTAATGCTTCAACAAATGCCCTAATCAGTATTAACTGGTATAGGATTTAAAAAAGATATTTTTAAAAGAAGTCTCTTCTGCTCTTACTTGACAAAAATATAGTAAAAACATTAATATTGTGAAACATTATTGCAATTTAAAATAAAAATGTTAATATATTTTAAAACGTAATTTATTGCTATGATCAAAGCTGTATTTTCAGCATCATTACTCCAGTCTTCAGTGTCACATGATCCTTCAGAAATCATTCTAATATGCTGATTTCTTATTATTATCAATGTTGAAAACAGTTGTGGAAACTATGATACATTTTTGCAGGATCCTTTGATGAATAGAAAGTTCAAAAGAACAGCATTTATTTGAAGTAGAAATCTTTTGTAACATTATACAATCCTTTACTGTCACTTTTGATTTATTGCATTCTTCCTGATTAAAAGTGTTAATAAAAAAAAAAAAACCTTACTGACCCCAGACTTTTGAATGGCAGTGTGCATTACATCCAGCTGTACCTGCTCCTGTCGTATGGTCTCCGGCGGTGTAGATGTTGGGCCGGACAGACACTCTCCTCCACAGTGGACTGTCTATCTGTGTCTGGACATACCGACAATATCCTGACTCAAAGTCACAGTTCGCAACAGATGGATCAAATGTTGGCTCTGTAAAAACACATATTTTTTATTGATCACACAGGAATTGGGTATTGGGTATGAGCTTTGAGGTGGCAAACATACCTGAGCCTGCATTACAGAACTCTGGAGAGAAGGAAATGTCATCAAGAATCACATATCCACCATGTGGACTGCTAAACGCCTCCTCAAACACCAACTAGTAAGATACACACTCACACAAATAAATGTCAGAGCTGTCAATTTTACATGTAGTGTGATTAATTATAATAATTTTTAATAATGAAATCACATTAAATTGACACACACACACACACACATATACATAAACACATGTATACACACACACACACACACACACATATATATATATATATATATATATATATATATACACAGTGTTGGGAAAATTTACTTTTAAAAATAAAAATTACAATATTATGTTGCTCCCTAAAAAAGTAACTTACTTACTTAGTTACGTTTTATGAAAAGTACTGCATTACGTTACTTTTTCTCATCTGGCCTGAGCTTGCTTGTTTGTTTTTAATATAAAAAAGTTTTATTTTTGGCAAATGTAAAAGCCAAAACGGTTTTGAACCTGTCCACAATAAGGTCTTACTGACCTTTATGCCCTAATAAAATTAAATATCGAAATCAATCAGAAAAACTGATTTATATAAACCATAAATAGGTGCAGCACTTCTTTGACATCTGGATGCAACATGTTAAGCAGACAATACAAGAACCGCAGACTGAAATCTACCCAGCTAATAGAAAACATCACCAGAACTTTTGCTGCTATTCTGGCACGATATTGAGAAACGTTAATAGAATGTTCGTTTATCTATTAGTTTATAACACTACGTTATCTGGTCTTTAATAATGTTCTCAAAACTTAGCACAAAAATGTTGTTTATGCAATGTTCATGGACATTCATCAAACATTTTTTAAATGTAACTGTTTCAGAACATTCAGTGAATATTCAAAACTAATGTTCCCATAGCGTTTGCAAAATGATCAAATGGAATGTTCCCTTTACGTTCATATCCGCTTGTTAAGTCTGAAGTCACGTGTCACAGCTTCCGTGTCCAAACCTATGGTCCAAACGCTCTATCAGATACCACGAGAAAACAACAAAAGGTGCTAATATACACTCACAATGTGATATAATACTACCAAAAAAATTATAATCCTAACCTTTAACTCCATACCGAAATCCCAGATAGCCAGACAATGAAAATATAAATATAAATAAATAAATATAAAAATTATTTGTGTTTGGGACGCTGTGAGCATGGAGACTGTGTGTGTGGGTACGATCCCTCTATAGTGTGGGTGTGGTGTTTGACTTGGTGTGAATTTTAGGTAAGGTTGGACGACCTCCCGAGTTGCAGCCGACCTGCCCTGTTCCCGCTAAGCCTGGCCCTGGAGAATTATTCTTATAATTTTGTGTGTTTCATGAGAGAATTTTAGTGATGCTTGTATAATAAAGTCATTTTTTTTGTATCTATACTCACGTCTCACTACATTTGATTTCTTGCCCTCAATTGGTAAAACGTACCTGTGTGTCCTTATTGGTAGTATTTCCCTGGCACTCCACCAGGGTGGCGTAGTCGGATTAAACTAATAGTGATCTAGGTTCTTTCAGACCTATGAGCGTGACACATTTGCTTGGTACTTTCTTCAAAACCCAGATTTTTCTCCTGTGACGTCCTTCAGACACAGCAGGGGTGTTCAGTCCTCATCCTGGAGAGCCAGCGTCCTGCAGAATTTAGCTTCACTTGTCCCAGCATGCCTGGCTGGACAATTAATCCTGAAGACCTTGATTACTTTGGTTCAGATGTGGTCATTTACATTGGTCTTCCAGGACCAGGACTGGACAGCCCTGAGGTACAGCATCAATAAAAGAACAAACACTTTTTTTGTGCTCGTAGTGTTACAGATTTTTGCCTAACACAGTCAGACACAGTCTGGTCCATATTTAGCAGCTGGCAGCTTATTCTGGCCAAGTACTGCACACTTTCACAGGAAGCGACTGTTTGCCTGGTATGTAAAACAGCCAATCAGGGTTAGTTTTACGTGCCTTTTAGGGGTGGTTGTATCTAAAATAACACAATAAAAAGATTTATTTGTGGTTGTCAGTCTTTACCTCTATAGGATATGGAGCTCCAGACTCTGGTTTCTGGACTCCAGTTCACGTTGTTGTTCTCCGGTAGATCGGCTCTCCATAGCTCCTGATACTGTCCAGCCTGATCCCTGCTGAAGAGGGTGAACAGATGGTCCCCGGCGTGATACTGCTGGTACTGGAAGCTCAAGCAGCCCGGCATGGGCACTGTGGTCATTGGAGACGCCAGCCTGGCCACCTCCTGGAAGCTTTTAGAGTCCACATACATATACTGACCTGTGTGAATCAATGAAAAGGCATCACTGACAGAATCTATTCAGCCATGGCTATGTAAAAAAAATTATTTGACCCTAACAGGATGTCTGACAGTATAACTATTGACTGGTACATACATACATAATAGTGTTGTCAAAATAATATGATACATTAATATTTATTTGTAGTCATGAAAGACTATATCATAATACTTTTTAAAAATATTTTTTTGTATCATATGCAATAAAACACATCCAGACACAAACGTTTTATGCATAAGATTTTTTTTAAATTATATAAAATTGTATAAAATCATTCAATTTATAAAATACTTCTGTATAATATGTAGGGATTTAAAAACATAAAATTGTTAT